TGGATATATCTAATAATTGACCCTTTTTTTCATTTATATTCTTTTTATATTATTTCTTTATCTTATTTTTTATCTTTATCTTCTTTTTTCTATTATTTGTTTTTTTTCGTTGCCTGTCATTTCTATCAAGCATATTCTTTAAATTTATTGTTTCATTGTTAAGTCGTATTATTCATTCTATATTGCTATTCTTCCATTTTGTATAATTATTCAAATGGTTTTTATTAATATTAAAAATTTGCTTGTAGTGCTTGGTATTTGATAATTCCCTCACTTTATAAATGCAATAAAATATACAAAACTCAAAAATCTTAACATTTATTTCTATTCATATAAATCTAATAATAGAATATCTAATAATAATTTTTTGTTTTAAAAAAATTAGAAAATTGTTATAAGAAGATTAACAAGATTAGTGCAAGAAAATATTTAAAAAAGAGGAATAGATAAAATCTTATTAGTATAAATGAGGTTTTCACCACAAAAATCAACGTTAGAATCTTATTTTCAAATTAGACGAGATTGTAATTCGGATAAAGATATTTCCTATATTCCATTAGCAGAAAGACAACGCCCTAAAAGATTAGAAGACATCATAGGACAAGAGAGTGCAATTGGTATTGGAACCCCATTTAACTCAATGATTTTAAATGACAGCCTTCAGTCAACTATTTTATTTGGACCACCAGGAAGTGGTAAAACAACAATTGCAAGAATTATTAAAAATACATCAAAGTCATTCTTTGTTCAAATATCATCAGTAACAACTTCAAAAGAAGAATTAAAAAATGTTATTGAACAAGCAAAAGAACGAAAAAAAAGAGAGAAAAAAGATACTGTTTTATTTGTAGATGAAATTCATACATTAAATAAATTACAACAAGACATTTTTCTTCCAGCAATAGAAAATGGGTCAATCATACTTGTTGGGGCAACAACAGAAAATCCATCATTTCAGTTAAATAATGCATTAATGAGTCGTTGTAATTTAGTAATTCTTAAGAGACTTGAAAATGAAAGTATTAATAAAATAATAAAAAAAGCAATTAAAGAAGAATATCAAAATAATAAATTTATTATTGATGAATCAGGTATTAATATAATTTCAAAATATGCTGATGGAGATGCAAGAAATGGTTTAAATTGTTTAGAATTTATTTTTAATTATTTTAATAATTTAAGCGAAGAAGAATTAAACGAAATAATAAAACGTAATGAAAGTGATAATACTACAATAGTAATAGATGAAAATGATTGTATTATACCTAAAGAAAGTAAATTAGAAAATATTGAATTTTCATATCAACCAATAGAAGAACCAAAAGAAATTCATATAACACTTACTTCTGAAATTATTTCAAAATTCCTTCAGAAACAAAACTTTCAATATGACAAAAGTGGTGAAGATCATCATAACACTATTAGTGCATTCCATAAAAGTATGAGAGGTGGTGATGAAAATGCTGCAATATATTGGTTAGGAAGAATGATATTAAGTGGAGAAAATCCAAAATATATTGCAAGAAGAATGATTCGATTTGCCACAGAAGATATTGGACTAGCAGATACCAATGCAATGGTTGTAGCAATGAATACATTTCAATCTGTAGAAATATTAGGATATCCTGAATGTAAAACTGTTCTTGCAGAATGTTGTTTATATTTGACTCGAGCAAAAAAATCAACAGCAATATATAAAGCTACATTAACACTTAAAAAAATGGTTAAAGAGCAACCTAATTATGTTGTTCCTATTAGGGTAAATAGAAGTTCAGAACATCCAACTGAAACACAACAAAACCAGTCATTTCTTCCTGATAAATTAGCTTTTAACAAAGTAATTGAATATGATAGATTTACTAAACCAATAAACAAAGATACAATTCAACCGTCAACACCTAAATTATTTCAATATATGCAATAATTCTATTAAATTTAATAAAAATTAACTAATTTATGTATTTCTAAAAAAAAAAGAAAAAAACTTAAAATTCATTTGAATAATGACAAGAGATCCTATTAATAATGGTGCTGTTTATGAAAAATATAAATTCACACAAACACTTAATGAAGTAACTGTTACTGTTACATATCCATCACCAATTAAAGGAAAAGACGTTAAATGTAAAATTACTAATGATGAATTGTTCCTTCAAATAAAAGGAGAAACATTTATAAATGGAAAATTAAGTAAATTAGTTAAAAAAAATGATTGTTGTTGGACTATAGAAGATAAAACTACTGTAGTGATTGACTTAGTTAAGCAAAAAACAATGGATTGGTGGAGTTGTGTTATTATTGGAGATGAAGAAATTGATACTAAAAAAATAAAAGCAGAAACAGTAGGAGATGTTAATGAATTAGATGGTGACACTAAAGAATTAGTACAAAAAATGATGTTTGATCAACACCAAAAAGAATTAGGTCTTCCAACCTCAGATGAAATTGATAAAATGAAGGCTTTTGAAAAATTTAAAACACAACATCCCGAGATGGATTTTAGTAATGCAAAGATGATGAATTGAGAACTTTTTGAAACTGATTAAAAGATTGTGTTTTTTTGTTTAACTCTTCATTTTTCTTTTTTTCCTTTTTATTTAATTTTTTTTGTCTAAAATTAACAATATAACTATTTTAAACTATATCAAAATTATATTAAAACTATAAATAAAAAATAAAAAAAATTAAAATGAGATAATAAAAAACCTAAAAAAAAAGAAAAGAAACAAAAAAATCAAAAAAAGTTTTTCATGGGAGCAAAACACTCTAAAATTGTTGCTATTCCAATCAACTTCTCTGCCACTCCTTCGGCTGCTGAACAAGAGCCTTTCCAAACTATTAATGAAGTCGCTAGCCATATTAATGAAATGCTACAAAAGATGACAAATTATAAAGCAAAAGAAACTGAAATTAGAGCAGCGATTGCAACTCCATCACCAGAGACAGAAGAAGCTGCATGGAAAGCAATTATACCTCAAGTCCAAACGATTAATTCATTTTTTGAATACAGTAGAAGTATGAAAACAGAAGTAGTTAAATCTCTAAGACTAATCTGTAAATTAAATGGAAATGATAGTGTTACTCAATACCAAGCTGTTACTGTCAAATTAATGGAATTAATAGATTTTGCTGTTCAATTTGATAATAAGAAATTAGCTAATCCTGGTCTTCAAAATGATTTTAGTTATTACAGAAGGTCCGTTGGTAAAATGAAACAAAAACATCGTGAAGATGTTGTTTTAAGAGATGAAGTAACAAATCAAATTTCTATGTTCTTTGCTTTTGCTGCACCAATGATTCTTTGTTTATGTGAAGCATTAAATGAAGATATTAAAAATGGTTTAAGTTTAGATAATTTAGGAGATTGGCTCCGAACTGTTGCTTATTCTTGTTGTGTAGAAGCACAAAAACATGGGTCAAATGGTATTCAGTTATTACGAATTATGACTGGATGTATCTTATTGTATGATACAGTTGTTCCAACTGGTGCTTTTAGTACAAAAGGAAAATTCAATGTTTGTTTTTTATTATAATAAATTAATAATAAATTTTATTATATATAATAGTTTATTAATGATAACACTTATATTAAAACGTAGGTACTTGAATGCGTTAGAACATTACAAACTTACCAAGAAGAAGAAGTTGCTTTATTGGCTAATTCTCTTAAGTATTCAACTAAACATTTTAATGACGAAGATACTCCAAAAAACATTAAAGTCCTCTTATTGTGATTTGTAAAAGTTGTTTGGTGGTGAAAAACGGTTTTATTTTAAAAAAAAAGAAAAAATAAAAAAAGATTTGTTTCAAAATTTTTAATGATTTTAAATAAAAATTACCAAATTGATTTAGAAATTAAAGATTGAACTAAATTTCATGATAAATTGTTAAATAGATAAACTAAGAATATCATATGGATCTATCTAAAGGAGCATCAAATGATGCTCGTAAACAAAGAGAAGTACGAGATAAAAAAGCTGAATGTAATAGTCAATTATTAGTATTAGCAGCTGCATGTGGAGCTCAAATACGATTAAGAAAAACAAAAAAATCAAGTTATGCAAAAAAAGTATATATTTCAGATGATGTGTATTTTAATAAACGATATGACCAAAATAAAATTTTAGAAATTGCCGTTATATTTGAATGTGTTGTTAGAAAAATGTGGAATGATGCAAGAAAAAATTCAAATAGTGAAATTATTATTGAAAAAAATCAGTTTGATACAATAAAAAATGAAAAAGAAATTAAAGACTTAATAAACTGTAAATTAGATATTTTAACAAATGATGAAAAATTAGTTGGATGTAATAATTTATGGAATGATAAACCAAGTATTAATAGTGTTGATACTCCTTTTTCTTTTAAAACAAATGAATTCTTAAGAAAAAGAAAAAACAGAAATAGAGAATCTGCTTTTAATTCATTTCTTTCATGGATTCTTATTGAAAAAGGAATTAAATTAATATGTCGTATTTCTTCACAAAAAGTAACTTCAAAAACTATGAATTTTTATTTATGGAAGTCTTATAAACTACCAAATGGAAATAATATTAGTGAGTCTTATCTTACATCAATTACTGACAAATGTCGTAGACTTCTTAATTCCTCTTTTAAAAATACTAATTGTTATATTCTTTCTCAAGAAACTCTTAATGATGCACAATTAACTCCTGATGAAATTAAACTTATTGGATATACTTATGTAAAAGTTGATTCTTCAGTTTTTGATAGTTCTATAACTGACAAATCTGATGAAATTACAATTGATCAAATCCATTTTGACAATGAAATGCTTCATTCTTTAGGCTTCTAATTATTTTGTTTTATTATTTGTTTGTGGAATTTATTTAATTCTTATTTAAAACTGATTCAATTGAATTATTCTTCATCTTCTTCAACTTCTTCGTATTCATATTCATCATCATCACCTTCTTCTTCTTCCTCATCACCATTTTCTTCTTCATTTTGAGCATTTTTCAGTGCGGTTAAGAACCCTTGAGATAGTTCAATGAACCTACTATAGTCTTCAGAATTAGAACAATCTTCTTTCCATTTCCAAATAGCATCTTCACTAACAACTTCATTTTCATGAAGAGCATGAAGAATATAAATAAAAGTTGGTTCAAAGTATTTAAAGTCATCACAAAATTCACATAAATAAAATAAAATTTCAACTTGTTCATCACAGTTTGTTGTAAATTTTTCAAGAATTTCCCAAGAAGTGTCTAATGATTTTAATTGTTCTAAAGTTGTTTTTGTTCCATTTGGATCTCCAATAAGTAAAAATGCTTCAATAATAGCAGAAACTGTTTCACTCATTGAATAATTAAAAGTAGCTTTTAAAGAAGTAATTTGAGTTAATAGCATATGTTTTTCATGATTAACAAAATAAGCTTCAATAAACCTTTTAACAGTACTTCTAAATACACTAAATGGTTGTTGTTTCTCTTCATCTATACTATTTTGTTCTTCATCATCACTATCATTATCAATTAAATTAATACGAGCACTGCCACTTCTTAATAAACTAGAAGCATTATGTTTTTGTACACGAGAAGTAAATAATTGGTCATTAGGTTTAGTAGATTTTTCAATACCATCTTTACCAAAAATAGTATTTTCACATAAATATTTTTGAGAAACAATTGCATCATCTTCAATAATACAATTATTTCCAATAACTGATGAAATAATTTGTACATTTTTTCCTATTGTTGTTCCATTGAATATTTGAGAATCTTCAATACTACTACCTTCTCCAACAATACAATCAGAACAAATTACTGAATTGTTTAATGTTGTATTTATTCCAATTGTAGTTCTTTCACATAATAATACATTTTTGGATTTTTGTAATATTTTTAATGGAACTTTAGATGATGCATGACTTACAACATTATGACCATACATATTATAATCATATCCAAAAACATTAAGATCAGTTGTATATGGATATCCATGTCTTTGTAACATTTCTGTTGATACTTTTCTAAATGTAGCAATATCTCTAATACGAACAGAATATTCATTATCTTTAGCAATATAACAATGTAATTTAAAATTTGTAATATCATTTTCTAATATTCTTGGATAAAACATTTCAGGGAATTCATTCATATCACAATTATCTGCATCACTAAATAATGATAATCCTTGTCTTGTAAAAATAAATACACCTGTTTCCATAAAATCTCCATGAACTTCAATTTTTGGTGTTTCTTTATTTAATGATAAACGAAGATAATATGGTCTATTTGTTTTTTCTATTTTTCTATCATCTACTTTAAGTATTCTATTTGTTAATCCATCTATTATAACTATTGTTTTATCATCATCTGACCTTGACTCATTGACAATATGATTCTTTCTATATACTACTGTTACTACATGTCCATCTCTACAATTTTGTCTATGAAATTGTAAAATTGGATCAAGTTGTAATGTAGTAATAACATCTCCTTTAATAACAATAAGTTCATCTGATTCTAATTGAGAATTTTCTGATATTTGTCTTATAATTTCCCCAGAACTTTTAGTTTCATCACACACAATAAATTGAACTACTTTTGATTTATATCTGTTTTGAATAATTGTACTAATCTTAATCTTATTCTCTAAATTACATGCAATAAATATTTGTTCAACATTTTGTGTTAATAAATGATCAATGATATATAAAATTAGTGGAGTGTTTAATATCATTAATAATGACGCATTACACTCCATATCAGTTATTTCATTTTCTACTAAAATTACTGCTTGTCTTTTAGTTGGAACTTCTAAAGTCATTTTGGTTTTTTAAAGTCTCAAAAAAAAACTTTTCTTCTTTCCATTTTTTTTTTAGGGTTTTTTTTCTTTTTTATAACCCTATTTTTGAGGTTTTTAACTAATTATAACAAAAATTTGTTTTACTTAAAAATTGTTTTATTTTTTTATTTTTTATTTTTTTGAGGTAACAAAAATTAAAAAAAATTAGATTGAATTAAAAGATTTTTTTCTTTTCATTTTATTCTTTTCAAATGAACATATTTAATTTTTCGTGGGGAGTTTCATATGAAAATGAGTTTAAAGAATACCTTGACCAAAGTATTGTTGCAAGAGATTGGATGGACATTTATTCTCCTTTAAATTCATTACTTAGAATTATAAATGAAAAAAAAGAAATTATAGAAATTCCACATCAAAGTTTATTTTTTGAAGCACTTCTTAAAGCTGCTGATCAAAATATGCCACAAGCAGTACATGGAGTTGTATTAGATATTATTATTTCATATTTTAAGAGATATTCACAAAACCAAATGAAAGAATATATTCAACTTTTTCTTCCAATTATTCTTCTTATGGGTAAAACAGCTTTACCCCAAATACGAGGGAGGTGTATTGAAATGATAGACAAATTTCTATTAAACAATAATGATTTTACATTGTCTTTATTAGAACCATTAGTTTCATGTTTTGCATCAAGTTTACTCCAACCAGTGAATGGGTTACAAGAAAAAGCATTAATTTTATTTCAAAAATTATATGACCAATACAATTTGGAATTTGAACAAGAAATGTGGTTACATCTCTGTATTACACCACATACAAGAGAAGGACTTTTAAAGTTTATAAATTTAAAGAAATATCAAATTAATTTTAATAATATTAAGGAACAAACACTATGTGATGGGTTATGTGAAATGTTATTAAATCAAAATACATTAGTTATTAAACAAACACTTGACTTAATGAATGAACAATTAAAATTAAATAAAATTAATATAAGTAGTGATTGTAAAAGAAAATTAATTCAAGTAGTTATTAAATTAGTAACATTTAATGATAGTGGAATAACACAAAGACTAACTCAATATCTTATTGGAGAAAATGATTCACAATATTTTGAATTACATGTTAAAGATATATTCATTAAATCAATTTATGAAATTTTACAACGAGACTTTACTGACACAGGGTCATCATCAGAATGTACTAAAATGTTTTCTGCTATTATCAAAAATAAATTATTATCAAATGTTATTGGAAATACTCTCACATTACCTTTAATGAATTTGTTTATTAAAATTAATTTAAATAAACAAAATGTTGAACAAAGTAATATACTAATTGAAATGTTAAAAAATGCTCAAATAGATGAACTTATAAAACATTTAAATTCAATGGAATTTAATGAAAAAATAGTGTTTGTAATGTATTATATTCCATCTGAAGAACAAAAAGGTCAGTATATTACAATAGCATTATCATTATTTAAAACTTTAATAAATGATTATTTTCAAAAACAACTTAATGCTACTGACCTTAGTGTATTAGAATCAGCGTTAATAATAATTAAAAAAACTGTTTCATCACTTCATGATAATTTGAAAATAGAACTACCAATTCTAGATTCATTAGAACCATTTAAAAAACAATTAACATTGATACAAACAATATTTGGAGAACGTGAAGTAAAAGCATTGAACAATTTATTAAGTGTTATTCTTACTTTTGCTTCAATTACGTCAAATGAAGAATTTCATTATCAATTAAATCAAATACTTCTTAATAGTATTTTGTCTTCTTCAAATATTGCTCCTGCTTTAGTTTGTTGTAGACTTTTCTTTAGACTAACAAAACAATCCAAAATTTATTTATCATCTTCTCAAGAAGTTGTATCATTTTTATGGAAAAATGTTTCTAGTGCAGAACAGTTTTTACCAATAATTGTTTCACTTTTAGCATCAAATGCTGAAGCATTACCATTTAGTGCTCTTCAAGACGTAATAGATTATGAGCGTTTATTAATTTGTATGCACATGAATAAATTTTATCAAAAAATTATAAATACAAACCAAATGAAATGCATTATTTATTCATTATTAAAATCAGATGAACGTTATTTTAAAGTTGCACGAGATTGGTTTTTATTTTTAATGTCACATGATGCAACACTTTTTATTTCTATTGTAATGGGAGTATTAAATGGTAAAGATGAAATGATTATTGAAAATACTGATGCCGTTGGTTCTAATGAAGAACCATCTTCTACTATTCAAAATAAAGAAGAAACAAAACTAATCACTAAAAACTCAACAACTCAGATTAAAAGAGAATTAAGATTCTTAACGTATTTTACACAAATTATTAATGCTGATATTCCAGGTTGTTTTGACCTTTTATTAACAACAGAAATTAATGATGAAATGAAATCTTTATTAGTCATTTATCCATTTCCAAGAACACTTATTAATACACCAATACATATAATATTAATGATAATAGAAAGAATATGTGTAGTTAGAGAAAGTGTTAAAGCTGCAGATTTATTAATTATTCTCTTTACTAGATATGAACATTCTGAAATACTTCATTCATTTTCTCAACATATTTTAACTGCTATTAGTGTTCCAATAAAATCTCATTCACTACAACCAATTTTTCATTCAAAATTATTAATTTTAACTAGAACTTTAGTTCGTTCTACACCAGCATTAATTCAAACTTCATTGGATACAATGGATGCAATTCCATTAGATGTTTTAATTGACCCAGAAATATTCACTGATTTTTCTCTTAATTCTCCAAAAGAAAATTTACCAATCTTAGCAACCAAAACATTACCAGAAATATTTTTAAAAGTACCATCTATGATGAAATCAAATTCTGATGCATTTTATAGTGATGTAATTAGATTAATTGGAATAATTACTCAATTAGTACATCGTATCTTTAGAGAATATCCAGTTAATAAAGAGTCATCAAATAATATTACTTTTTTAGCTCCAATGTTTAATATTCAAAAAAAAGAAGATAATCAACATTTCTTCAAACCCCTTCTTTTTGGATTATTTTCAATGGTGAGTGAATTATATCAACAATTACCTCGTATTCAAATTAAAGAAGTTCATGATATAATAGAAGATGACTTAGCATTTTTAATGGAAGAAGTATTTTTTGTATTTCCAGACTCTCTTTTAGAACATACAGCTACAACTCAAGAACATAGAAAAATGTTTTCAAGTCTATTTCTTAAATTTACTTCTAATCCTATCAATTTATATATTTCAACTTTATGTTCTTTATTTAAATTAGGAAGAATACCTGCAGACTCTTTATTTGACTCTATTTCTCAAATACTTCCAATGGCAAATGGTGAAGAATTAAAAGAATTAGTTCCAGAACTTTTTAAATTCTTTTCTTTGTCAATAACTACTATTCAAAATCATTCAATAACTTCATTTTTAAGGGCTTTACGTTCATTAGTGTCATGTTCTGAAATAAATAATCTTCCACCTCAAATCGTTGTAGCATCTCCTCAAATATTCCAATTATTTTATTCCGCAGTTCAAAAATTTACACTTCCAGATGACCTTAGTTCATTTACATCAGATTTACTTCCATTAGCTATTTCATTAAAACCATCTGAAGCAAATCCATTACAAATATTTTCTGCAAATGTGTCTTCATCTCTTTCATTACTTATTCCTCAGTTAGAAACAATTCTTGAACAGAAAAATATTTCAATGGTTGAAGATGTTCTTCTTTCTTTACAACGTTCTGGTTTATTAACTGGAAAATGGAAAAATTTAGTAATAAGTACATTTAATGATAAAAACTTTTTTGTTTCTAATCCAAGTCGATTATCAAAATGGTTACCAATTATTTCTCTTGTTTATTCTCAACATCTTGACCAAGTATGGCAAAGTGCTAAAGGAAGTGGTAATGGAATAAAAGAAAGAGTAGATTGTATAGAAGCATATGAATTAAAAAAAGCTGCATTTGTAGTATTATGTGGTGACTGTTATACATTTGATAAAATAGCAAAAGAATTACTAAAAAGAATTTTGAAAATTGTAGCGTTATATCCTAAGTCTAATCAAGTACTTATAAACTCTTTCTTATTCTTAAGGGTTATTTATTGTAAGTGTTCATTTGTTATGACCCGACTACTATTAGGACCAATTTTAGTCGAAGCCATTAGAATCATTAAAAATTATAAAGAATTTGAACCAAATGTCCTTTTAGAAATTCTTAAATTTATTGATATAGTAAATATTAATCCTTTAATTGATTTCGAACCTTTTAGGTGGCTATTTACATTACCATTGTCTGGAGTTACAACAACACTCTCCCCTTTCTTCAACATAATTATTCCACTTCATCCTGAAAATTCAATTCAAACAGAACTAACTAGTATAACTCCAATAATTACATTAAGAAAAATATTATCACAAGAAGATGAAGTAGAACTACGAAGAGTCTTATCAAAATATAATGTTCTTTTACTTGATATGAAAAGAAGAAATTTACAATGGAAACCAGAAATTATTAATGACTTCTTAATGAATGATTTCATAGAATAACTTTTCATTAATTTAATTCATTCTCATCTCTTTTTTTTTTCTCTTCTTATATTTTTTCACACACTACAAAATCTCTTTTGTTATGAGCCGTTCTCTTATACAACAAATAGAATTCTACTTCTCTGATATAAACCTTTCCACTGACCTTTACCTCCAATCAAAAATGAACGCTGATGGAATGGTTCCTTTATCAGTTATTGAAGGATTTAAAATGATTAAACGATTCCATAAAACAACACCAGAAATTTGTGAAGAATTAAAACAATCTAATATCCTTCGTCTTTCAGAAGATCACCAATTAATTGGAAGAAAAAATTTACAACCTATTGCTCAGTTAGAAAAAAGAGGATTAAAAATAAAATGGATTCCATGCTCATTGAATGAAGAAGAAATCAAAGCATGTTTGTCAGAATTTGGGGAGGTTGACCAAATCAAAATCAAATATATTCCAACAACTTTAACATTCAAAGGAACTATAGAAGTTTTATTTAAAAATGAAGCCACAGTTAATAAATTAAAAGAGATGGAAAAGGTTATGGTTAAAGAAAAAGAAGTTATTGTTACCAAATGGAAAACACATACTTTATGGATAAGACTATTTCGTGGGAAGGAAAAAATAACAACTGTAAAAGGTATTGAAGATGAAAAAGATGGAAGTTTTGTATTTGAAATACCAAAAGGCAAAATACAGAAAATTCAAAAACTAAAAGATTTATCAATACAATATATCTCTCCAGATGAATATCTTTCTGTTCTTTATCAAAGAAAAAGAAATCTATAAACTAAACTTCAATAACAAAATATTATTTTATGTTTTTTTTTATTAATAAAAATAAAATTAATCAAAAAACATTAATATTTTCAAAAATTGTTTTTCAAACATAAAAAAAAAATAAAACCAAAGGATAAATATATCAACTCCATTCATAGTAAAATTGCTTTATTAAGATATTATTCTCTTGACTATAAAACACAAAATGAACCTCATTTAAAAAAACTTTCTTTACGAATTGTAAATAAGGAATTGCTTTTTTTTTAACAACTGCAAAAGTTATTTTAATCTTATTTTCAACTAAAAAATTAGTAAATAAGAATAATAACATCAAATAACTGCCTTACACTCATTATTTTTTATTGAGTCACAATAAAAAAAAGATAAGAAATATGGAATAGAATTTTTAGTTAAAGACATTAACCAAGTTTTCTTTTACTTTATGAAACAATAAAAAATTGTTTTTTATTCGTTTCATAACAAAAGACTTATTTTAAACATATTCTTTACTCATATTAGATAAATGATTATCAATGAAATGCTTTTTTATAATTGAATAACCAACTAACTAGCTCTTATTTAATATACTTCAATTCATATTTACTATTATTATTTTTAAACAATTAAAAGACTTATCATTACCAATAATGACAATAAGAAAAAAAATTTAGTCTGATAAGAATTAATAAATAACTGACTCTATTAACAAAAGACTATTTTTTAAAAAAGTATCTTGTGATGATTTTTGTTCAATAACTTTGATGAAATAAACCTATATTTAATTCTTTAATCTATTTAATAAACATTTCAAAAAACAATAAATTAATAATCGTTATTAAATAATAGCTTTTTTATAATTTAAAAATTCATTAATGTATTATTTTTTTTTAAATAATTGGAAATATTTTAAATTTAATTAAAGGTAAGATAAATTAAAACAATAACTCTGCTTCTGATAAGAAATGCCTTAAAAAAATACTTCAAATGAATTTTTTAAATAACCATTCAATTTTTTATTAAAAAAAAAAGTAATTTTAGTTTAACAAAAAAATTGAATAATTGAAAACCACATTCTATTACCTTTTCAAGAACAAAAGAAATTATTTGATGCTGTCAACAAACTCTTTTAATTCATCAGCAGATTTTCCAATAACACACCCATCACTTATCCTAGCTTCAATAATAGGTGTTAATAACGCTAATTGTTTTTTAATGAAAACATTTCTATTCATTGCTGCTGGTTCACAACAAGAACAAACAAAACATTTCCAACGAGCTTTATTAGAAATAAATTGTTGAGGTGTTCCTAATGTAAGACATAAATGTTTATAACATTCAACACAAAAAGTAAATGGACAAAATGAACAATTATATGTTTCTTCTTTTTTATAAAAACCACAACATAGTGCACATTTTACATCGTTTTGCATTGGATTAGTATAATTATATAATGGGTTATATATATTTTCTCTAGTTCCTTTTTTTAATAATTCAAGACATTCATCATTTAGAACTACTTGATGTTGCAATAATGAAACTCTCCACAATTTAATAATTTCATCTAAATGATTTTGACAAACATAAACATGAAGTGGTTGTAATATAGGAATTTCATTTTCAACAATTGCATTACAATTATCAATACAACATTGGTGCTCTTCTTTATTAACTTCTTCTTCATGAGCTTCTAAATTTATTTGTGGGTTTTCAGAGTTTTTTATATCTTCACAAGAAGCACCAACAATATCTTCTTTTATTTTATTTTCATCATTAACAATAGAACCTTCAACTAATGTTTTATTTTCTTCTTTAGATTCTTGAGGATAACTCTTAGAAGCTTCAGTTTTTTGTTCTTCTCCTCCTTCTCTTCTAAGAGATGTTTCTTTACCATAATTATTATTTTTTTCTGTTTCCATAAAAGTTGATTGATTTGGTTCAGCTGGAACAGTAATGGATTTTTCATTTTTTATTTTTTCATTTTTTTCTTCTCCAGTTGTAGGATTATTGTCACCATCATCTCTTGTTTCAGTTGAAGTATCAGTATCACTATTATGTTGATTAGATTCAGTGATAGTATCTTCGTCTTCAGCTTGTTTCTTTTGTTGAGGTAGTTGTACGTCAGTTGTTTGGACTTCTCTTTTAATAGGAGTTGCTAAAAATGGTTAATATGATTCTCTAAAAAAAGAATTTTCCTCATAGTTAAAAATACATTAATGAAGGCACAATAAAAATCAGAAGATTAAATTTTCTAATGCCAACTTTTAACAAAAACAAACGTGTTATTATATCTGAATATTTAGTTGCATGGAAAGTACATAATTGATGATGACAACAATCATTTTTTAAGTTTACTTGACTTAATTTCGATGGTGATACTTCTAATGGACATGCCATTTTGTCACAATGTTCAATGCAACATTCCATTTGTTTCAACATATTATCAAAATCATTTTTACAAATTTTCCATTCACGTGGAATTGTGTTAATGAGCTCTTTTTTAATTTTTACTGTCCCTTGAATTTTAGATAAAGGAAATTCACCTTGGTTTTTGCATCCAGCAATGCAGCAACCTTTAAACATATTTTGAATATAAAATTTTAAGATGATTATTTTTATGGAAAAAGATTCTGAAAAAATGAAAAGAGAAAAAAAGGAAAAAAGTGAAAAGAAAAATACGAAAAAAGAGAAGGGTAAAGTGAAATCTCTAAAAGATCTTCAAAAGAAAAAGAAAAAAAAGAGAAAAATGGTTGAAAAGGAGAGCATAGTAGAGAAAATCGTGGTTGTAGAAAAAGAAATATTAGAAAATTATTATGCTATTGATCAATTGGATAAAAGAATAACGAGTTATATTCGAGAAAGAATGAGTGCGATTAATTCAGATGAAGATGATATAAAACTTAAAAAAGCTCAAACAAAACTTATCAAAAGCTATCGTGCTTTAAAGTATGAACAAGACCATAACCCAAAACTAGAACAACAATTAAAAGAAGTACATATTCAAACTCAAGAAATTAAACAAAAAGCAGACATTGTTAATGCAAAAGATGAAGATTATCATAAACACACATACAAACTTGGTAAAGTTGATTCAAAAATTTGTAGGTTACAAGATACTTTCATTGCTTTGTATACAAAAAAACTTAATTTACAAGGAAAAATTAATACATTGTTAGAACAAGAAAATTCATTAAATGAAGAAATTAACAAAATAAAAGCAGATAGTAAAACAATACAACAAACTATGGAACATAAAGAGACAGAATTAGAAGATAAAAATAATGTAATTAATCAATTAAAAAATCAAGAAGAAGAAATTAGAGGAGATATTAGACAACTTCAGAGAGAAATTGATGAATTTCAAGAAGAACAAAAACAAATTCAAAAAGAATTTAATGAAGAACTTAACCAAATACGTACTGCATTAGAAAATGAAAGAAAAAATAATAATAAGTTAATTGAACAACTTCAAACAGAAAAAGTCTCAATAGAAGAAGAAACTACTGTTATGCAACAAGAGTTTCAAAAAAATGAAAAAGTTATAGAAGAGAAGAAAATATTTATTGAGCAAATGAAAAAGAAAATTGATGAATTAAAGAACGAAGATAAACAAATAACAAAAGAAGTTGAAAAAGCAGAAAAAGATGTAAAAATTGCTTTAAACAAACGTAAAGCTATTAATGATAGATTTAATGAACAAAATCATGACATTGAAATGAGAAGAAAAGAACTTGAATTTACAGGGATTAATAATGATAATCCTAACAAAGATTTAATTGGTTTTGATGATAACTTTCAACACCATATTCAAAAAACTCAAAAAGATGTTTTGTATGATAGACAAAAAACTGCTAATAAATTTGAAGTTTTACTTAATAGAGTTGAAGGAAAAGAAGTTACTGAAATAAACGAAGAAGAAGTTCAAAAAAGAGTAGAAGAAGAATTAAAACAAATTAATTCTGATAATAAAGTTTTAACTCCAATAATTTCTTCACCTAATGAATCAGAAGAAGAAGAAGAAGAGGTGATTAATCCAAAAGTTCAAGCTCTTCAAGAAATTGAAGAAATTATAAAAACTAGTCCTATTCTTGAACGAGAACCTGAAGAGAAAATTAAAATGAAAGAACAAATTCAATTACTTCAACGAGAAAATGAATTAAAACAACATCAACTCCAAAAAGAAGAAGAATGTCTTATTAAAGAAGAAGAAAATAATCAAAAATTAAAAATGTCAGTTGAAGAAATTAATGAAAGAATATCTAAAATAGCTGATATTGTTGGTTTAAGTAGTACATCATCTTTTGATGTAATAGTTGACAAAATAGTGGAAATGAAAAAAGAATGTGATTGTTTAGAAAACAAAATCAAAGATTGAATAACATTTAATTGAATTTTTATTTGAGGAGATACACAATCATTTAAAAAGTTTTGATGTAACAGCATTTGATGATTTCTTTGGTTGATTGAAAGATGTTGATGGAGATAATGGTGATCTTCTTTGTGGTGCTAAACGAATTTTTAATTCAGAAGAATCATTACTTTGAGATAAAGGAGAGGTTGATGTTACAAGACTTGGTGAAGAGTCAGATTGAGGTGATTTAGAAACTTCAACAGAATTTGGTTTTGATCTACATCCAATAACAAACGTAGGTTTTTGTTTCTTTTGAGACGAAGAAGTATATTGTTCATAGAATTGTTGTAAGAAAATAAGTTCTGGTTGTGGTAATGGAACTGGAACAGTTGAACCAGAAAATGTTAAATTAAGTTGAATGGTATTTGACACTTTTGATTTAAATGGATTTCTTATGTCAAGTGTTTTAGAGTCAAAAGAAAGTGTATTACCATCAATAAAATATGTATGAAAAGACGCACGTGCAACAATGGTATGACCATAACTAGGATTAGAATTAATTAAACGAACTCTAATATTTATATCTCCTGCTAAAGGAATTGGTGGGTTAAATGATGCTTGAATATTATTTGTTAACTCTGAAAATATACAAGAATAACTAGGTGAAGAGGATATTAATGGTTGAATACAAATAAATGGTTTGTAATATTGATCAATGCTAGAAATGTCTAGTTCATATGATACATTATTTGTTCCTTGATCAGGTAATGGTCCAATAGAAAGTGTTTGTAGAAGATAAGTTGTTTGAACAAAATAAATTTGTTTTGATAGCAATTCTCCAAAGTAATTAACATATCGAATTTGAGCTGGCATTGAAACTCCTTTATTTTTCATTGAACGAATAGAAGCAAAATGATCCAATGCATCTTGTGGAGTAGCACATAATTTAATGTACTGTAAAAATGAAGTAATAACAGTTCCTGTTCTTCCTCTTCCTGCAAGACAATGAACTACAACAACATTTGCAGGATCTTCAGTATAATATTTATACATATCATCAACAATATGACAAAGCACAATTAATGATGGGTTATGATGGTCAGGAAAAGGAAACCATTTTACGTTATTGTGGAATGGTGTAGGGTCATATGGATTTTCTGTCAAATTATATACACGATAATGTCCTAAATGTTTTTGCTAAACTAATAAATATTTCTATTAAATGTAAGTCCACTTTATTAAAATGAAGTACAAACATTGAGTAACATAGCAACATCTACCATATTATTTCTATAATATGATTCAATGCCTTCAGCAGGATATCCCATGGCAATAATTCTAGGTTCAATGTATGTGAGATCTAAATCAAATCCATCTTCTTGGAATCTTCGTTTATCTTGAGACACTTGTCTTTTGACCAAGTTTAGCATTTGTTTTTTTTTAATTTGTTTTTATTTTTTTAATTTATTTTTATGATTGAATAATTCATTTTATCATTTTTTTTACTTTTGGTTAAATAACATAAAAAAATGAATAGCACATTTTTTATATTACAAAAATGAAAAAAAGATTGAGGCATAACAATTATGAAATAAAACATCAGAAAACTAGATTTACCCTATCAATTATGCCAAGACAACGAAAAAGACCAAACCCAACTCCTTCTCCTCAACAACAACAAGAAGGAGAAACTTGGCTTCATAACTATATTAAAAATTCACCTTATTCCAGTACATTAAGAGAACGATTAGGATTGTCAAATGAAGAATTAGAAATAAGTATTGAATCATTAGTTGAGATGAGTCCTGATGAAATGGCACTACAAATGTCATTATTTGAAGTGTATGGTGATGACTCCTTTGAATTTATATCTGGTATTATTCAGAACTTACCAGCCATTTTAAGTCATCAAATAATCAATCAATCAACGCAAACAAAACGACAAAAGACACCCAAACCTACTGACCAAATTTCGTATACCCCACCAAAACAGATAAATAAACCTGTTATCCCCAAAAATGCTATTGAAAGAAATCTTCCTGATAGATATGAATTATATATTCCTGCTGTTCCTTCTGCTAGAAGTCTTAATACAGAACGATTAGAAGTTAAAAATATTTTAGATGATTATACTAGACCTGCTATGTTAAATTATACTCATTTAAATTATGTACAAAGTAAAGTATATGAGACTGCTTATAATAGTGGAGAAAATATGTTAGTTTGTGCGCCAACTGGATGTGGTAAAACATTAACAGCATTGTTATGTATGCTAAGAGAAGTTAAAATGCATCAACATGATATGGAACATTTAAAAATTGTTTATATTTCTCCATTAAAAGCACTTGCTACAGAAATGACAACAACTTTTAAAAAACATTTAGGTTGTTTCAAAATGAGAGTTGAAGAAGTAACTGGTGATACTAATATTCCAAAAGCAGTTATTGCAAGTACACATGTTATCGTAGCTACACCAGAAAAATTTGATGTCTTGACACGAAAACAAGATGCAGAATTTGTAAATGATATTCAGTTACTTATTGTTGATGAAGTACATTTATTGGATGAAGACAGAGGGGCTGTTATTGAAACAATTGTTGCAAGAACATTGAGAATGGTTGAAAGTCAACAAAGACCAATTCGTGTTGTAGGATTATCAGCTACATTACCAAATTATCAAGATGTAGGAGAATTTATTAGAGCTAAACCAGAAAATATATTTCATTTTGATATGAGTTATAGAGCAGTTCCAATGTCTACTAAGTTTATTGTTTTACCTGAAGATGAAAAAGAAAATAAAGGTCACCAATTCACTCATCATGCTACTGACTTGGCTTATGATGAAGCAGAAATTGTAGTAAAAAGAGGAAAACAAGTTATTGTATTTGTTCACACAAGAAGAGAAACAGTATTAACTGCACAACGGTTTATAAGAAGAATGAAAGAAAAAGGAACTACAGAATATTTTACGGGAAATAAAGGTAGAGAATTTGCCACAAGAATAAAAAAATTACAAGGGAAAGATATTAAAGAGTTATTAGAAATGGGAATTGGTGTGCATAATGCTGGAATGTTTAGGTCAGATAGAACATTTATTGAAGATGCATTTAGAAACGGTTCTTTAAAGGTTCTTATTTCAACTGCTACATTAGCATGGGGAGTTAATTTACCAGCCCATACTGTTATTATTAGAGGAACTGAAGTATTTAATAGTGATAAAGGATGTTCTGATAAAATTTCAATCTTAGATGTTCTTCAAATGTTTGGAAGAGCAGGAAGACCACAATATGATAATGAAGGTGCAGGTATTATTATTACTGATAAAGAAGGATTAAAAAAATATATGGCTATTCTTGGTAATATGGGTAAAATTAAATCAACATTAATGAATGGACTAGCTGACCATTTAAATGCAGAAATAGTCTCTGGAACTGTTACTAATTTAGAGGAAGCATTACAATGGTTCCAATATACTTATTTATATGTTTGTTTAAAACAGAGCCCTGGAGGTATAACATCTGATGATCTTAATTCATTAATTGGAGGTGCTGCCAACTCATTAGAGAAACTTCAAATGATAACTATTAATGATGAAACTATAACATTTTCACCAACATTACTTGGAAGAATTGCATCTCATTATTATGTTACAGTTGAATCAATGTATACGTTTTCCGAGAAATTACATGAAGGAATGCAAATGCCACAATTACTTGATCTTATTTGTTCATCAAATGAGTTAAAGCAATTACAAAAAATGAGAGAAGAAGAAAAACAAGAAATGGAAACCCTTGGTAATTCTGTTAGATGGCAATTACCATCGACAAATGACTTGGCTTGTAATAAAGCAAATATTCTTATTCAAGCAAGTTTATCTCATATCACATTAACTAATTATACTTTAATGTCTGAAACTTTATATGCAAATCAAAATGCTTCAAGAGTTACTCGTGCTTTATTTGAATTAGCATGCATTAGAGGATTGGCACGTGAAGCAATGAATTTATTAGAAATAGCAAAGATGATAGACCAACAAAATTGGGATACGGTTCATCCATTGTTTCAATTTAAAACTCTTCCTGTTCCAGTATTACTTAAATTACAACAACGAAAACTTGATATTGATACTATTTGTGAAATGGACAAAACTGAATTTATTGATTATCCACAATATGCAACTGATATTATAAGACAAGCTCATGAATATCCATATCTTGTATTAGAAACTACATGTGTTCCATTAACATCAACAGTATTACAAATGAAAGTTCATATTCATCCAGCATTTAGATGGGGAAATGATTTAGGAACAGTAGAAAATTTCTGGTTATTTATAAGTGACAATAGCTATAACCAATTGTTTTATTTTGAAAGTTTTAATCTTTCAGAGAAAAAACTTGATGATTATAATGGTACTGGTATTCCTATTGAAATTATTGCTACTGTTCCAGTTGTTTCTGGTATTCAATATATGGTTGATGTAGTTTCAGATAAATATTTTGCTTGTATTTCTAACTTCCCTGTTCAATTTGATGAAAGTACCTTACCGACAGATGAGTCTTATATGACAAAACTCTTACGATTACATCCTTTACCAACAACAGCATTAAAACAATATCAAACGTTCTTTAATTTCCATTATTTTAATCCACCCCAAACACAATTCTTCTTTATTTGTTTTAATACAAATAAGAATGTTATTGTTGGAGCACCAACTGGTTCAGGAAAAACTGTTGCAGCTGAACTTTGTATGTTAAAAATTTTTAGAGACACTCCAGATAAAAAAGTGGTATATATTGCACCAATGAAAGCATTAGTAAAAGAAAAATTGAGTGATTGGAAAGATAAATTGAAAACACTGGGAAAGAATATTGTAGAATTAACTGGTGACTTTACACCAGATAGTGCTGCAATTGCAAAGGCAGACATTATTTTAACAACACCAGAAAAGTGGGATGGTATTACTAGATTATGGACAAAGAAAAGTTATGTACAAAAGGTAGGTTTAATAATTTTGGATGAAGTTCATTTACTTGGAGAAGAAAGAGGACCAGTTATTGAGGCAATTGTTACTAGAACTAAACAAATAAATAAAAAATTAGGTATTCAAACTCGAATTTGTGCATTAACTACTGCTATTGCAAATGTTGATGACATGATGAGTTGGATAGGAGTAGATAAAGATTCTGTGTTTAATTTCCATTCATCACTTCGTCCAGTTCCATTAATTGCACACATTGATGGATTTCCTACAAAAGCATATTGTCCAAGAATGGCAACAATGAATAAACCATGTTATCAAGCTATTAGATTACATTCACCAGATAAACCAGTAATGATATTTGTTTCTTCAAGAAGACAAACCCGACTTACTGCACAAGACTTAGTAAAGTTTTGTTTTAATGATGGAAATCCTCAAAAATTCCTTCATATGCCATTTGAAGAGATGAACGAAATTACTAAAAGTATTACTGATGGTATATTAAAAGAATGTTTGTTATATGGAATTGGTATGCACCATGCTGGTTTAAATGATCATGATAGAGAAATTACAGAAAAGTTGTTTAAATCTAATAAAATTCAAATATTAATTACTACAGCTACATTAGCTTGGGGTGTTAATTTACCAGCACACCTTGTAATTATAAAAGGAACAGAATATTTTGATGGTAAAAAGCACCAATTTGTTGATATGCCATTAACAGATGTTCTTCAAATGATGGGAAGAGCAGGAAGACCACAATATGATAATGAAGGAGTAGCTGTTATTTTAACATATGAACCTAAAAAAGATTTTTTGAGAAAATTCTTATTTGAACCATTCCCATTAGAAAGTTATTTTGAAACAGTTATGGCTGATCAACTGAATGCAGAAATTGCTGTTGGTAATGTTACAAATGTAAAAGAAGCTGTAAAATTTTTAACATTTACATATTATTTTAGAAGACTATTAAAGAATCCTAATTATTATGGGTATGATGGAAAAGAACAAATTGGTAAATTCCTTGTTTCTAAAGTTAAAGATGCATTAAATGAATTGGTTAATGCTAAATGTATTGAAATGGATGAAAATGATGTTGAAACAACTACAAATGGAAAATTATCAACTATGTATTATATTAGTTATAGAACTATTAAAATGTTTGCTACTAGAATGAAGAAAGATTTAAGTCATGCTCAAATATTACAAATTATATCAGATGCAGCAGAATATAATAATCATCCAGTACGACATGAAGATGATATTCATTGTAAAACTTTAGCAAAGAAAGTTAAATATGGTAATTTAAGACAATCATATGATGATCCACATACAAAAGTATTTTTACTACTTAGTGCTTATTTTGGAGAAAACACATTACCTATTGTTGATTTTGTATTAGATACAAAAAGTGTCTTAGACCAATGTATTCGTATTCTTCAAGCTTTTATTGATAGTGTAGCTGAAAAAGGATGGACAGAAGTTGTTGTTCGTTCAATAGAAATACTTCAAATGGTTGGAAGTGGAAGATGGATTGATGAATCCCCATTTTTAACATTAATTGGAGTACATCAAAAAGCAATAAAACAATTTGAGAATGAAGGTATCATTTGTTTGCCTCAATTATTAGTTGCACCTAAAGAAAAAATTGAACGAATTGCTAGAAAAGCTGGAATGTATGGTAAACAAATTAAACATTTATTACTTCAAATAAGTAAATTCCCAAGGATAAATGTCTTTATTAAACCAATAAATAATATTCATCTTGATGATAAAGTATTTGATATAACTATTTCATTAAAGAGAATTAATGATAATTTGAATTATGCCTTCTTACCAAGATTCCCAAAAACTAAACAAGAAGGTTGGTATTTAATTATTATTAAACCTGATGGAGGATTAGCTGCAATGAAACGAATTAGTTTAAAGAAAAATAGTACAATATCTTTAATGTGTGTATGTCCTTTATTCCCAGGTGAATTTACATATAAAGTTTTATTATTATCTGATTGTTATATTGGTTTAGATCAACAATATGATCTTCCAATTACATTTGTCTAATTCAATTTATTTAGAATTAAAATTAAAAAAGGTTTATTTAATTTAAAGACGAATAAATTAAAACATATGCCATCTTATCATAAATATCTTTTTGTTCAATGAGTTGAATATTTTCATCATTACAAAAATACCATTTCTCCCCTCTTCTAACATAACATACATAATGTCCTCTTCTTATTTGATTTCCACGATGTTCAATAATACTTATAAGTCTATAATTTACATTTCCTTTATTTGTTTTTAATTGAAGAGATTCAGTATAATTGATGTGATCTACTAATTTAACAACATCTAATTTCACACGATCATAAATAAAACGGTTTAATTGTAATACTAATAATTTTGGTGCTTCTTCAATAAACAATTGTTGAAAATGTGTGTTATCAATTTTTCTTTTTGAGAAAGCTAAATTAATAGCTTGACTAACACAACTAACACAATTTTGTTTAGACTGAATTGGTAATGATAAAACATAAAACTCTTGTAAAACGGCTTGGTTGTGTTTTTTTTTCATTTCATCAATAGTTATAGTCAATGACCTCATACTTCCTCTAAAATAATCAGAAATTACACTTGTTCCATCAGTTTTTTCACTTCTTAATTGAATCTTTTTGGATTTTTTTCCAACTTCTTCCCATCCATCATCATCTTGTTGTGCTTCTTCTCCTTCAGATATTTTATTTTTACATTCAGTATGTAAACAATTAATTAAAGTAGTATAAAATTCTGTTGCATCCATTTGATATTGACCACTTTCTGTTTGTAATTTCATAATAATCTCCTTCATTGATGGAGGTGGATCAATAATTTCTTTTTGAATTCCAACTTTATTACATTGAAGAAATAAGTTAAACATCTCTTTCATTGCTTTTGTATATTTCATATCATCTGTAGGATTTACTTCTTTTAAATATTCAACAAAAGGTGGTAAAGAACATAATACCTGGAATACACTATTAGCAAAACATGTTGACCTAAAATTTTTAATGCCAAACAATGGGTATGCTTTCTTTAAATTCAATGATTTAGGTTTTACAGATTGTGACATTATAAATGAACTTTTTGAGTTATAAATTTTAATAAAATAAAAAAGAAAGAGTTATAAAAAAAAAGAAAAACATAAAAATTAATCAATCAATCATTGTCTCCATTGGATTTGATCCAATAAATATCGAATTTGGATATGTTGAGGTGCAAGATCAGTTAATAATTCAATTGCATTAATTCTTTTGAGTCGTTGATATAAATCAGGTACTGTGTCAAATAAGAATTTTAGAATATCACAACATAACATAATAAATTCATTTGTTTGGTTATCTTTTAAATAGTCAATCAAATATTCTAATATTCCTAGTTCTAAACAACACTTAATAAATGGATGACTTCCATTATTATCTGATGCCATAATATTTGATATTGTAACAAATAATGAACTAATTAGTTGGTCATCATCAGTATTATCAAAAAGTCCAAATAATAATGGAAGACATCCACTTTGAACAACTTTACTTACAACTTCGAAATTTGTTGCACTAACAAGGTTACCTAATACCCAAACTGCATCACTCATTAAAACATTATCCCTTTGCACTATTCGAATTAATCCATCAATAACATTTGGAGTAAGAAATGGAGCTAATTGAGAAGGAGTACTAATAGTGAAGAAATTCCCAATAATTGTTAGTGTTGGAGCAATAATAGTTGGCTGAATTGATGTAGTTAAGATTACGGCAAGATATTGAAGAAATGCCATTTGATTTATACAAATAGAAATGAATTGTTGGTCAGATGATATTAAAGATATTAATAATAATGATGATGAAATGAATTTAGTATTATTTGTTGTAGGAAGAAATTGCATTAATGCTTGAGGAACCTGAGAATTTAGTAATAATTTAACACCAATAGGATTTGATAAAGTTAATGTAGAAAGTAATTGGATAAGTGAAATTGATGTTAGAATTTCGTTAAATCCTTTTGAAAGTTTCTCAAGAATAATTGGGATGATCCCTTGTGAATTAAACCTTTCTTTAAACTGTGTGGATGTTTGACAAATAAGAGAAACTATTTTTGATGTTATTGCAACGATTTCATTAGAAGGTGATTGAAGAAGAAAGACTAAAAAAGGAAATGAACTTTGAACTAAAATAAGGCATTGTTCAATTTGTAATGAAACGATTGTATAAAGTAATCTCAAAGCAATTAATTGTTCTTGAAAGTTATCTTTATTAATAGCCATAATAGCTTGATTAATAACAGAAGTATTTTGTGTAAGAAGTAAGATAGGGTTGTCACTTTGTAATATTAAAGTTTCAAGTTGTTCAAATTGATTATTATTAACATTTCTTTTAAGTAACTCATTTCTTCTTTTCATTCTCATTTTCATAAGTTCTTCTCTTCGTTGTGAACATAATGAAGTAATATTTGGGGTTTCACGAAGTGTTGCCATTTATCTTCTTTTTTAGTTCAGAGTGTTTTTTGGAAACAATGAAAAATTATTGTTATTCAATTTAATACTCCTTGATATTTTTTTGTTATTAAAGAATAAAGCACTAAATCATTTGATGTAGTTGATTTTGATAAATTAAGTTCATTATAATATTTGTCTAAAACCTCATTTGTTTTATCAATTAATTGATGAAGTGTTTTTGATTGTTCAACAAGAGGATCTTCAGGAAGTTGTTCAATGAATCTTTTTATTGACTGGAATTTTCTTTGTTCAGCAAGAATAGCAGGAGATGATTTATTAATTAATATGCCATCTTCAATACATAATTTAAGTATTTTATATGATAAATTAATGTCAGTATTATTTACCAATCTATTCAATGTTTGATTTTCATCATCATCAATGAGCATTAATGGGTAATATCGTTCAAATATTTTTTGACTTAAATACTCTAATTCTAATTGATAAGAATCAGTGTTATTTACTCTAGAAGATCTAAGCGTATTATTTAATGGTTTCATTATTAATAAATGACAAAAGAAATAATTAGTTCAAAATCAATACCAATAATGTAATAAAAAAATTTAACGTAAACTTAATAAAGTGAATTTAAAATAAGTTATCTAGTGATGTCCAATATGCTCTTGTTGTTTTACCATCTAATGAGAATTGATCATCAACCCACAACATTCCTAAGTTTAATAACCCTATCTTTTTTAATGAGTAAGTGAAAAAAAAACAATGATTGAAGAAACTAATTTCAAACAAACTAATGTTCCTTTGACTCGTTCTTTTGACCATCCAATAATAAGCAATTCATCTTCTAAAAAATATGGCTTTTTATCTAATAAAGTTAAAACAACTTGTTGGTCATCAGCTAATTCAAATGGAACACTAATAACATAACTTTGTTGATAAATAGTAACAACTTTTAATCCTTCTCCTAGACATTTTGCTTGATTAACTGCCTTAAAGATATCATTTCTATGATGTTATTAAATAAGTTATTAATTAATAATAATGAACAAACTGCCTAATTATTGATTTTCTTTTTTTATTAATTAATTCACATAATTTATTTATTTCAATAATTCCACCATTTGATTCTCTTGATTTATAACACTCTTCTATAATTTGGACAGTAAGTTCATTATAAAAAACATTACTTCCAAAAAAAATATTAACATAACTTTTTTCAGCTAACATATTAAGTGTTTTACATTCTTTTATATTTATTTTAATATCAAACTTGTTAATGGTTCAACCCCCATTTTTCTACATAATATATATAACATATTTTGAATATCAACATCATTTGTAATTTCATATTTATTTTTTTGTAAAAATTCTTCTAATTTATGTTTAAAAAGATTAGTCTGTCTTTCTCGTTCTTCTTGATTAACTAAACAAAACTCTTTCCCTTTAATTGACATCTTTTCTTTTTGTCTACATAACAAATCAATTGTTCTTTTTGACATTATTGTGTTATTTTTTAATTTTTAATTTTTAGTTCTTGGTTTCTTCTTTGTTCTTTCTTTTCTTTAAGTCTTTTTGTATTATAAATTCTTTCTTTATTTAATAAACATTACCTCAATCTTCTTTAAAGCTATTTACAATACATCATTAGAAAATGAAATTGTTGAATGGGTATTCTTCTTTCTTCTTCGTTAAAATACTTTGTTTTTAATCAAAGATTCCTTTCTTTCAAAAACTTTCAACACTTTTTAAATAACATTCTAAAAAGTTCTAATCTATTCTTTAATTTAATCGTTCAACATTCGATGATCAGAAAAGAATAAAATAGTACAAACTTCCAGGGTTTAAAATAACAAACAAACTTTAACTTTAAATCCAAATAATATGTCTTCAAAAGAGAAAATTTCTAATGCATTTAATACATTTGTAAATAAGTATTTAGTTATGACATCTATTATTGTTGTCTTTTTACTTACTGGTACAGCTACAACAATTTTATCAAAAACTGCTTATCAATTAAAAGCAGAAGGTAAAGATAATGACGTTCATTATTTTATTAAACCGTTGTTTTTAAATTGGGCAATGTTTTTAGGAATGACTCTTTGTTTAATTCTTTATTTTATTCAATTTCATATCCTCCCATTATTTAAAAAAGATTTAAAGAGTGAAAAAGAGTCAATGACATGGAAAGGATTTTTATTAATGCTTATTCCTGCTTTTTGTGATTTCTTAGCAACTTATTTAATGAATTTTGGATTGATCGTTGTTCCATCTAGTGTTTTCCAAATGATGAGAGGAAGTATTATTGTTTTTACTGCAATATTAGCTGTTTTTTATCGTAAACATAAAATGTATGTTTTTGAAATAATTGGTGTTATTATTATTGTTGTTTCTCTTGCAGCAATTGGAAGTGCTGCTTTCTGTCCTGGAGCTCAACCAGATGTTGTTGAGACATCTTCAGGTGATTCATCAAGTAACACTGATGGACCAAAAGTATATCCATGGTATGCTACTCTTATTGGTATTTCACTTATTTTAATCGCCCAATTCCTTCAAGCTTTCCAAACTATTCTTGAAGAACAATTCCTTCATGACATTAAAGCTCCTGTTAGTTTCATTGTTGGTCTTGAAGGTCTGTATGGACTTATTATTTGTTCTATTATGATGCCAATTATGGGATTAGATTTTATTCCAAAAGGATTATATGAAGATACTTTAGATACTTTCATTATGTTAGGTAATTCTGCTGCATTAATTTGTATTACTATTGCCTACGTTTTTTCAATTTTAGCTTTCAATGTAACAGGTATGATGATTACTGATTACGTTAATGCTATGGTTAGAAATGTTATGGAACCAATGAGAATGATTACTATTTGGATATGTTCAGTATTCTTGTATTATGTTGTTGACCCAGACATTGGAGAGAAAGTTGGATGGTTTACATTTATTGAAGTATTTGGATTTATATTCCTTACAGGAGGTTTCTTATTATATACAAGAGTTATTAAGATTCCTAAATTATTTAAATATCCTTCAAATGAAGAAGTTACTATTGAAGAGAAAAAAGAAGAAGAAAAAGAACCATTATTATATTCAAATTAAATTTTTATTCTTCCTTTTTATTAAATCTTTTTCTTTTTATTATTTTTTAAACAAATTTTTGTGTTTAACAAATAAGAATTACAACAATTCTAAATCATCAGAGCTTGATGAATATTCAGTGGTTTCTGTTAAGTCTAAGTTTAATTCATTAATAACATCTGAGAAATTTAACTTAGAAGATACATCAGAAAATCCATATGCTTCTTTACTTTGAATAGGTTTCTTTTCTTCAGTTTCAGGTTTCTTTTCTTTTTTCTCTTCAACAACATCACTTTCGTCCTCTTCTTCTTCGCTATCATCCTCTTCTTCTTCTTCTTCCTGTTCTTCATTTGTATTTTCTTCATTACTTAACTCACATTCAAATGTTAAATCTTCATCATTAATAACTTCAGTTTTTGATGTTTTACTTTTAATTGATTTCTTTTCTTCTTCTTCTTCCGTATTACCTTCTTTCTTTGCTGACTCTTTTTCTCCTTCTAAGTTATTTTCATTTTTCTCTTCTTTGTCATCTTTAATAATCATATCAACATCTGAAATATTTGGTTCTAAACTAATTCTTGATTTTTCTTTATTATTTGCTTGATTCGTTTCTTCTTTAGATCCTTCTTTCTTTGGTTCTTCTATTTTTTTCTTTTTAATAGCAACTTCTTCTTCAACAACAACAACATCTTCTTTTTCTTTTCTTCTTACTACCTTTACGTCTTTCATTACAAAGAAATGAATCCACTTAAAAACACAATTATATATTTCATCTTTTAACATATGTAAATATGCATTTAATACAATAACTTCAAATGGCATAATTTTAATATATTGTTCAGAAATTTCAACATGTGTTTGTCTTGCTTGACATTGGTCCATAATTTCTTCTCTAACAGCTTTAGCAAAAATTTCTGCAATACAATCAGCCATACAACTCATTAAATTTTTTCTTAAATGTTTTACCATTTTTTGTACTCCAAATTCAAATGATTCTTTAATAACTTCAGGAATGTTTATTTCTTTTTTTCTTTTATTTAATGTTTTAAATGATAAATAGTCCATAGCTTTCCACCAAAACTTTTTTAATCCTCTATGAAGAATATCAGTCATTAATAAACAATGATCAGATATTGAAACAATCATATTAGTTAATGTATAAAAATAATCTTTTAATTGAATCTTTTCATCAGGAGATAATGCTTGATATTCTGCTGTAATCTTTTTATCAATTTCATAAAAACATCTCCATACATCAAATTTACCATCTCTTTCAAATCTCCATAGGAAAATATATAATTCATCTTCCATTGTATCTATTCTTTTCTTACTAATATCTTCATCTTTTACCATTCCAACTTTTCGTGCCATCATTTCATTTAATACTGTAACAATATTTCTTACTTGGAAAAAGCCAGTCATTCCTTCAATAATATGATCAAAACAAGTAAAAAATAATCTTAACTTCGTAAATGGTGGTGAAATATGACCAGCAATTTCACCCATTTGTTCATACAAAGATGGTGGACAATCTTTAATAATTCTTTTCATATCATATAATTCTGTTTCAACATCATCAGAAATAACTGCACAATTTGGATCAACAAGTTCTTGTTGTAATGAATGACATACCTCTAATAATCCTTCAAAATGACCATATAAATATTTAAAACAAGGTAACATTTCCTTTAATACAACATTAGTTGTAACATGAAATTCTTTAAGATATTCACTTATACTATCTTTAGCAGCATTTTGAACTGTGTGAATATATCCCCAATATTCATCTAATAACATTTTCATATCAGAGAAGTTATTTAATGATAATTCAACTGCTTCAAAATCTTTTTGTATTTGGAACCAAAATTCACTAATATCTTCTGCTGTTGCTTTCATTACAATTCTTAAAAATTCAAGGAATTCTTGTTTATTTTTTGCATCAGGTCGTTTTACTGAATCATCTTCATAACACACTTCAACTACAATATATTTAGTTAACCCTTCAACAGGATCATGATAAACGATATTATGAGTAAATGCACTAATTCGTTTCATTGCCCAATCAAACACATCTGAATATGCATCTTTTTCTGTAGCATGACCTAAGAATGTTCTTAACGTTTTAGAATGAGCAATTCTTTTTTCTTTTAATATAACTAACATATATTTTGTAAGTTGAGTTAATAAATCACTTGTATCTTCTTTAAATGCATCAGCTTTAGTAGGTAATTGTGCAGCAAGATTTTTTGGCTTTAATTCAGAATGAAGTTCTTCAAATTGATCAAATCTTTTATATACCATAGCAGTTTCACTTCCATATGTACTTCTAACAAGGAATACAGGTAAAGGATCATAATCTTTATCTAAAATACGTAAGTCATGTACACGAATAGCAATTTCTGTATTTTCTGGTGATGTTTCTGAAATAACACGGGCAGGTCTTTTACGTGGTTTAATTTTATTTCTTTTTTTTCCTTTAGCTTTTTTCTTTTCTTCTGATATTTCTTTTTGTTGTAAATCATATAATTTAACAAGGAATTTTTGTGCATGAAGTATTTCTAATTCTCCTTGAAATTGTGCTTTAATTTTATTACGAAGATTTTGTATACTTTCTCTTTGTTCTCTTGGAAGTAATTTCTCGTCTTTTACCATATTGTCCTTTTCTTATACAATTTTAGTTCAATAATTTTTCTTCTATTCTTTTTTTGTATTTAACTATTTTTATTTACTATATTCTTCTATTTTTTTATTATTTCTTTAAAATTTGTTTTATGTCTTAACTTGAAATCAAATTTTTTTTTAAATAAAAATGGATATCCAAAAAAATTAATTTTGAAAAAAAAAATAATAATAACAAAAATATAAAACAAAAAAAAGTAATTAAAAAACAATAAGAAAAAATCTAAAAATGATTGAGTCATGTTCTTCAAGGTTTTCTACTTTATCTTTTGTTTATAATGTTTTAATTCATTTGAACATTGATTTATTTTTTAGCTTATTTTATCATACACGATTCAAGTTACTCCTGAACACTTAAATGGAGGTATTGAAGACTATCTTGACAAATATATTTCAGAAACAACAGGATATAATAAGGATTATGAGTGTATTGTAATTTGTGTGTTAAATGTTTTAGAACATAAACCCATAAGAGTTTGATATTCATTTTATTTTTATAGTCATTACTCAAAAAGTAGATTGCAGAAGGAACAGGGAATGTTGTCTTTTCAGTAAAGTTTGAAGCAATTGTTCAAAAAATTATCCGATCAGAAGTTGTTGATGGTATTATTTCTAGTGTTAATAAAGAAGGTGTTACAGTAGATGTAGGGTCATGGAAAAATATTCATGTCACAGCATCAAAAGTAGCTGATTGTGAATATGTTGAACAAAGTGGTTGTTATCGTGATAAAGATCGAGCTTCTCAATATCAAATAAGAAAAGGTAGTCATGTCCGTGTCCGTTCAGATGTTGTTGATTATAACATCAATGGAAAAGTTTGTTTTTTATTTTATGATATTTTAATAAGAATAAATATTAATTATATTATAGAAATGTTTAGGGACTATTGAAAGATCTTTTTCATCTAATGACTGAGAAAATAACAAATTATTTGTGATATATGTTTTATATACCGTTTTTATATTCTGTTATTCATAAAAATAATCAAAACAGTTTCGTTGTTCCAAGGATAAAACTTAAATAAATACTATTTTAAATAATAAAAAAACTTATAACAAAAACTAAACAATTATGTTATTTTTGGTAATTTCCGTGAATACTTTTGAGATAAGAAAGAAAGAAGGAAGAGAGCGGGAGTTTTAAGAAAAAATAAATAAAAAAGAAAATCAAAAACTTGGGGCATAAAAATAGCAGTGATAAGGAGACTTTTAAAAAACGGAAAAAACAAAAAGAAAAAAATAACATCTAATAATTTGAGATGAGTGAAGCAGAAGGGGTGAAGGTGAAGAAACAAAAGAAAGGATTATTTGATTTATTCTCTCGAATTAAACATACAACAAGTGAAGAAAAGAAAGAAAAGAAAGAGAAAAAAGAAAAAAGTAAAAAAGAAAAGAAAGAGGCAAAAGAAAAGAAATTAACTAGTGAAGAAACTTCAAAACTTCAACCTGTAGCCATTGCTAATCCAAAAGTAGCAGGTTATGCCAC